CCTAGTTTTTTAACTAGGATGGGGTGAGAGACGGTGTCAAAGGCCTTGCTGAAGTCCAGAAAGACTACATCCACCGCGACACCTGCATCCATGGCCTTTGTGACCTGATCGTAGAAGGCAATCAGGTTGGTCTGACATGATCTCCCCCTAATAAATCCATGCTGATTGCCCCTGAGCATCATTTCTGATGCTGGCCCATCACAAATGTGTTCCTTGATGATCTTCTCAAAGAGTTTCCCCAGGATTGAGGTAAGACTGATGGGCCTATAGTTGCCCAGGTCCTCCCTCTTCCCCTTCTTGAAGATGGGAAATTAGTTTTTCTAGTTATTACAGTAATTAGTTTTCAGAGTAATTAGTTATAAGTTAGTCTGCACAGGACATGAACGAAGAATTTTGCTTGTTATCACTATTGGCTCATGCAATTCTATAGTCACTAAAGCTGCAAAAATGTGCTGTATATTGCTTTTGATATTAAAAATGTGAATGCACCTGTAAATATTTTGCCCCTCTAAGCACTATCTGATTGAAATCAATTAGGTGTAACTAATATGGATCACTGAAAGTGCCTGTTGTTTTCAGTTCACAAAATTTTCTTGCTTTAATTTTATTTACCTAATGAACTTATTAGTCATAGCTTGCACATGCACACATGCACCTTTTAGGTGGATTTCTGTATTTATAACCTCTGTTATTGCCACCTCTCACCTCCAGTTTCTTTCAGGTACCAGTCCTGGGAGTATTCCAACATGGGTGTGGCTATTTAGTGCTTTTGCCACCTTTTGTGCTTATACTTTAGGTAAAGTATGATGGAAAACTTACATATATGAAGCTTACATATAGTTTTAAATAATAATGCCTATGTTGATATTAAATCAAAATAGATTGTAAAGAAATTTTGGCCTGCTCGCAAAGCATTGCTTTTCAGTTGTTTGATAATGTACTGAAACTTGAAGACCATTGAAACCTAACTAAAAAAATACAGTAGAATTTTTTTAACTTTTCTTAATAGTAGTGTAACCTTGGGTTTGCCTATACTGCTTCTGTGATGCTCTTGTAAATATTATAATGATTAAGATTATGGCTCATACACACATTAAAATAATCTAGAATTCTCCCAGGTTTGTTCTCATGGTAGTAAGACTGACCCGGAGTCAGGTGTACAGACATTGAAATGCTGAGGCCTTGAATAGTAAAGAGCTTGCAGTGCTGACACTGTGCAGCCAGAGGTGGGGTGGAAGAGGGGGGCAGCAGAGCTGTGCATACATCTTAGCATGCTCCGCAGGCTGCCTTAGTCTGCATTGCAACATATCAGAGCAGTGCATAGGTAAGCCCTGATTGGCTAACCCAGATGGCTCATGGTCAGCCTGTGTTGTCATTATGTACAGATATTTGCTCTCCCAGGAGAAACTCTCCTGGAAGTGATTTAACCCTGGTTGTGCCCAGGTTATTTTTGTCCTGGAGCAGCCATTTTTATTTTGGGAGAAAAAGTCTGAACATCTGTACAATTGTGGTTTCTCCTGGGAGATCAGTGACTCTCCCAGGAGAAACTAAATTTCTCTTCAGGGCTTATTTTTTCTCTAGCATGGTAAGGCATTGGCATTATGATCACTTGAAGTTGATCTCTGATGGCTAAAGCCTTTCAAATCATAAGCAGAAGTAGCTGTTTATTACATGATCCTCATTTCTTCTGCATCCTTAGTGAGTGTAATAAAGTGACTGATTTTTCATAAATAGGAATTCGATGCTGAGGTAGATTCCCAGGTACATGTGTGACCTCCAAACTGTATGACACCCTGGAAATCTAACTGGAAATTTTGCTGCTCAGTCTTATAAAACAGAGTATGTTATTGGCCAGTTGGGCCTCTGATGACTAATCCTTAAAAGGATGAGGTGACAGTCAAAGCCGCGATGAATTGATACATATGGAATTGTTTTACATCTGTAGTCTGAATCTTAATCTGAAATAATATTTAATCACAGAATAAACTCTGTGCAGCTAAAGATTTCCCATTGGAAGGCTATAAAGAACCCTATTTACTTACGATACACAATGCAAATCTTGTACATTTTTTAAAAATGATACTCCTTAGAATAAGACACACTCCTTAGAATAAGAAGCACAGGCTTTGCTTTTTAAATGTCATGTAAACTTTAAGACAAGTCAAGGTTTATTAAATCCAGAATCAAAATATACGACTTAACTAGAGTAATGGAAATGTACACACACACACACACACACACACACACACACACACACACACACACACACACACACACACAGAGATAATATAAATGTTTGTGGACTATATACATCTTCCATTAAATATACAAAATGATTGTGATATGTGCTTGCAAATTGACACTGAAACTACCTTTTTTTATTTTGCTGAGAGATTTGGTAGATCCTTATGTAAGACTCACAAATGGTCTGTTAAGATCTGATTTTTGCTTATGCATTATGCCATTTCTCTATTTATTTTCTAGTCTTTTATTATTAGAAGAATTCTATGAAAGCATTAGAGACCTAAGTCCTGTAGCCAAAACAGTCCTCCAGAGGAAAACAAATAAGGAAGTATGATCTGCACAATTTACAAGCCTAATTTGGCTATTCATGTGTGGCAAACATGACTAAATAATAATACACTAAGGGACCAATATTTTTATCCCTCTCCTTGAAAAAGTGTCTTTCATCCAAAATTACACAATTTGAATATAGGTTAGACAATTTTTAAAGTAGTTGGGTCAGTTATGTTTATTCAAGTACTAGGAAGGCAAATATGTCTGTTGATTGTATTCTAGAAGCATATTTTAAAGAATAAATACTTTTCCTTGATATTGGCAACTTCAATTACTAGTTCGCACACAGCACTGTCTTATGCATGAATCCCTAGATGATTTCATTTACACTATTGAGAAAGGAATTTTGTTCAGGATGATGAAGACAGAACAGTTTAATGAGATTATTTATTTTTTGACAGTATGAAACCAATTTAGGAGACTTGTTTCTTGTCTCATATTAATGGAGTATACCTCCCAGCTTTTAACACCTCTTTGAGTACTGAAGTAGTAACAATATTAGTTAGATGTCTAAAACCTATGGAGCGTAAAATGAGGACCCACAATTTTCTAGTCTAGACTGCTAAAGCATAAATGCAACAGTACGTATAATACTGCTTAGTAGCGCATGGAAGTAAGTAATATGCAACCTACAGTTTCTGTGTCCTTTTAATTAGTTGTAAGTAGAGGTGGTGGTATTAAAATTATTGCTCGTATAATGCAATTGGGCTAAGACACTATCACTAGTTAATTATTAAGATTAGCTACAGAATCTTTAGGTAACACTCAAGCAATATTAAAAAAATACTTATGTTATTTTCTAACTCATCATAATAGCCACTTATCTTTAAGCTTTTCTTCAGCTCATTCTTTTCTATGGCCCTGATCCTGCAAATACTTGTGCATTTCCTAATTTTAAATATGTAAGTCCATTGGCTCTACCCACACCATTTTAGGAAGTAGACTAAGACAAGACCCTTGAGTCACAGGTCAGAAAGGACATTACACAATAGTGGGTGAATTAGAAACCATGTCAGCTTCTCAGCCAATGTAAATCTGTATAGTTCAACTGTAAACAGTAGATGGAGAGAGACTATCGGGGAGCCTTTGGGAGACAGGATTCTCACAATGTAAGTGATCACCTATAAGCTCTATACACTTTCCTCCATACATACAGTAGTTAAAAACCTGAGAAAAATGGTTGTTTTTGGTCATGCCTTTAATTTTTTCTTTCTTTTCTCCCCCTCTCCAGACTCCATAGATGGGAAACATGCTCGAAGGACTCAGTGCAGCACCCCCTTGGGGGAGTTATTTGACCATGGGTTGGATAGCTGGGCTACTTCCATCTTCATCTTCAATTTTTTTTCACTTTGCTCACGTGGTAATGAGCAAACTGGTTTTCTCCTACATAAAATGTTTCTCTCATTAAGCATTGGCTTGCTGAACTTTATGGTTTCACACTGGGAAAAATATAACACAGGAGTTCTTTTTCTTCCTTGGGGATATGACATAAGCCAAGTGGTAAGTATTTAATAATTCTTGTTTTTAATACTGTTAGTGTTTTAACAGTGCTACAACAAAGAGAAAAATATTGCTCAGGGCAAATGTATTTGGCCAAGAATTTGAATACGAAATAGCATAAACCTAGAAGCACTACAGAAATATTTGTTCAAGGAAGGGACATGCTTAATCAAATCATCAGTATTAAGAGTTTAATTGCCATATAGGAAAAAGAATGCCTACAGCAAATATAAAAGTCAGATGCCATAAATGAGGATGCCATTCAGTTATATTTGCTTTGTGACATTCACTAAAATTATGGCATTGTCTAAAATTGTAAATGTAGCAGTTACCTCACCAGCATAAGTCTTTAGTGCATTATATGAATTTGGACAAGTAACATTTATTAAAAAGCTATAATCATTACTATAAAATCACCAGAACCCTCATTCCCTCTGTTCCATCAAATTTAACATCACGTGAGGACATAAATGACACTGTATTAGCACATACAATTCTGCCAAGTGTTTTTACCCTTGAAAAAAACTCAAGGGTAAGTAGTTTTATAATGTCTGTCTTTGAGAAGTATTGCTAAATAGCATCTTCCAGTTATTACTGTATTTACTCAAATCTAAGATGAGGTCTTTCCCCCATCAGTTAGCATACCCCCCATGCTGACTGATGGGGGAAAAACCTCATCTTAGATTTGTGTACAAAGTGGAGTTGGGGGGAAGGGCAAATGGCTGCTGCAGCTCTGACTGGTCCTGAGCTCAGGTCGGGGCCAGGGTCAGACCCACAGCAGCCTCCTGTCCACTCTTCCACTGGCCCTCTGCAGTTTCTGCTCCCCCACTCCAGCTTTTCCCTGCATACTGTTAGGCACAGCTCAGCTCTGGCTGAGGCTGGATTACCTCCTGGGTGCAGAGTACCTGGAAACTCTGTCTCCTGCGTGGCCAATCATTACTGCCAACACTGCTGCATGGTTGGCAGGGGCTGTGCTCCCATGTGCTGTGCTCCAGGAGAGAAGGAAGCCCAGTAGTGTCTGACAGTAAGGGGGATGAGGGGAAGGGGCAGAGACTGTGGGAAGTGGGAGAGGAGGGGCAAAGGCCATGGTGATTTGGTGTGGGGGAGTGCTGGTGAGGGGGGCAGGAAGGCTGCAAAGGCAAGAATTGGGGGGGGCAGACGGCAAGGGGGTCATCTGACCCCCCCAGGCACCTGAACCCCCAGCCACTGCTTTCTCTGCCATAGCAGGGGGGTGGGGGATGAATTCAAGACACCCCTCAAATAATTAAGTTCTATACCTGGAAAATTATAACAAATTAAAAATGATTCCATATATAACATCTAATTATTGGGTGGGGGAGGGAGGTCATTTTAAATTTGAGTCAATATGGTAACCAACCTCTAAGTAGAACTCTTTCAGGAACCAGATCCTAGGTAACACCTTGATGGCCATAAAATCGTCATCATAATTTAGGCCTAGAGTAGTTTGGAAATTTTCCAACAAAACATCATTTTTCCCCCCAAAATAAAATGTTTTACAGAAACTTATTTGTTTTAATGAGCTATCATAGAACTATAGGGAGTTCTGATAGAAACTTGCCTGTCTTCCTACCAATTCAGCTGGATTACATGTTTCCACAGTCTGTGCTGCCTGACCATCCAGACCAGCCAGTGTTGGGGACCCAGGGCTTCCAGGGTCCAGAGCTCCTGGGAAGCCCCACTCCATGAACAGCTATGGGTCTGGGGTTCTGGTGCCCTAGGCTAGCTGGCTTCTTGTGTTGCCAAACTATTGAAGTCTGTGGAGCCAGGCACTTGGAAATGAGATGACCGGGTCAGTCAGTCAGCTTAGAAGTCTTGAAGCCTATGAAATGAGGTAGGACAGTTTGCATGGCAGGGCTGCTGTTAACTCATGAATCTTGGAAGTCTTAACAGTTGGTGACTAAAATTTAGATGATTTTTGCCAGTTCCAAGCTGCTCATTACTAAACAGCAGCAAAGAACTTGGCAAAATTTGATTTCCTGACATCTGGAATTTCCAAGACTCAGCTAGCTCTGATTAAGGCTTTTCATCAAGGCTTATGCAGACAGATCAGACAGATATAGTTGGGTAAAGAATGCTTCAGCTGTTATAGTTCAAAGTATGAATATAAATACACAGAAAGCTGTTCATTATTGATCCAATGTAAAAAAAAATACTTGGTCAAGAGGATCCATTAGGAATAAAATATTAATGTTAAAAGCATAGGAGTAGGAATTAGCTGATCTAGAGACAACTACTTTCCCTGCTCTCAGTACCTCAGTTTCCCCATTAGTAAAATAAAAATGGTAATACTTCCCTACCTCACAGATTTAATTCAGCAGTCTGTAAAGAGCTTTAATAAACTCAGATCCAAGATGCGAGCAGAGACAAGAATACAGTATTGTTGTTTCTATTTGCCCCTCATGCTAAGGGCACATAAATGAGTTAATTTGTAACAAGTCAGGTTGCCTCAATTTCAAAAAGTTGCAAACATGTGACACATCAACACTGAGTTACTTCCATAAGAGTCAGAACCAAATTTGCCAGACTTTCAAATGCTTACCTTTTACTGCAGAGCCTGTCATCTCTCAGGCTTTCAAATGACCCATCTGCTTGTTTGTATACAACTGTGCAAGTACAATTGTATTTGTCAAGCTTCACCTCTCTGTCCATGGCTCCATAGCTGGAGTTAATTCACCTCTGTTTTAATTTTTATTCATTTTCTTTAGGCCCCCCTCTACATGTTACAGGTATCACACAATTAGCTGGTTAATCATGCAGTCATTTTAAGACCAGGTACATGTGCAAAGTAGCTATTATGCCATAAAAAGCTCCCACTGGCTATAAAGTTAGACCTTGAAAATGTGTACTAACTTTATACATGATTGTTATTGAGCTTTCATTTGCACATGTAGCTGGGTCTCCCCTGTGGCTTGAAGCCCCTTCAGTTGATGGGGCTGGGAGACTCTCAGCCCCAGAAGCTACCAACTCTGCTGCCCCAAACCCTCAGGGCTGAGGGATTGTGGCTGCTATGATCTCTCAGGCTTGGGGAGTGTGTAAAACCCCTAGGCCTGGGGGTTTGTGGTTCCCATGATCCCCCAGCCCTAGGGATCATGCATTATATCCCATTGAACCTTTACCTGACAGTGCCTTAGTAACTTCCAATTCCAGATGAAAATCATATAGATCTAAATTTCTGTTAATGTTATTTAGAGTGAAGGTGGGTTGAGGTGGGTGGCATTAAGGCAAAGGCCATATATTAAGTATATTAGGTATAGTATACCTGGTACACCAGAAAGTGCTGCATAGCATTGTGCATTGGTTGAAACTGAGGGATGTGGAGGTTTGAACTAGTTCAAGTAGTTCACTATGCCAGTAATTCAGTGCAGCATATGGCTGAGTTAGCCAGTGGTATGTCAAGCTGTCTTGATTTGATAAAGTTGCAGACTTCATGACCAGGGATCTGGGTTTTCCATTTGCCACAAAAAACACGGTAAAACCCAGATTTCCTCCTTTAAAAGAGAAAAATATGGGAAATTGTGGGTTTCCCCTTGCAGCTTGGCAGAGTTCGAGCCTGCAGGGGGATGGGGGGAGTGGGGGGAGGGCAGTCAGATAGGGGGTGCCATGTGCATGTGGGCACATACACATGCACATGCACATGGACGCCAGGCAGCCTGGAGAGCAGTTCGCTGCAGGTAAGTCTGATGCGGGGAGGGACACTGCAAGCCCTGCAAGCCCTGCACTGCCGTGGCGAGGTGGCCCCTGCCTGCCCAGAGGGGTGGCAGCCAAGAGTTGTGCTCTTTGCTGCTACTGGGCAGGCAGGAGGCACCTTGCCACAGCAGTGCAGGGTTGGCACTGAGCTTCCTTGACCCACTCTGCCTTGACATGGGGGTGTGGGTGGGGAGTGAAGAGTACCTGCAGGGCACAGGGGGCTGTGGGTGGGGAGTGAGGGGCACCAGCAGGGCTGTGGGGCTGTGACTTGGGAATCAGGGGCAATTGCTTGGGCAGGGCTTCAGCATAGCAGGGCTGCTTAGTGCCACAAAGCAGGGGAGGGGGACAGCCACATCTGGATTCATGTCCTGGGGAGTGAAAGGGGCATGACTTATGACTTTCCATGATAAAAAACCCAAAATCAAATGCCAAAATTGACAGGTATTTACAATTTATTTTATTATAGTGATTGAGTCACAGATAAGCTTCCAAATTGCTTTAAAATTGTAAATAAATAAAAAAAAAATGTTAAACTAATACATACATGCATGTCTATACACACGCACACATATATAGTGGTATTTCATTTTAATCAAAATGCAGATTCGGGGGGGGGGGGGGTTAATCAGAGAATTTACAATTTTTTAACCAGAGAAAACTGATTCTGATAAGTAGCTAGATAATTAAATAAAAACATTCAGTACTGAGAGAGGGACTCTACCTTAATGGTATTTATTTGCCCAGTAAAGACAGAGTTCTATTATGTTTACTCCTCTGCAGATTCAAAAAGGCAGCTACAGCAAGAGAAGAGTATGGTGGTACCAAACATAATTTTGGCACAAAATAATTCAAATAGCCATTGACATGGGAAACCCCTTAAAGAGAGATGGAGAGAAGGCTAAAAATACAAGTACCTTTTATGGAAAACATACAAACATATATAAAATTGAAGTGTATTCATTGGAAATTTCAAACATTATACACACACATATAATTGTACTTGTGCAGCTCTGTACAAACAAGTATGTGGAATTTTAATATATAAAATTATTATATATTAAACTGGGACTGTCTTGGGAGTGAGGGGCCATGCTGAGGAAATGGGGCCATAAATGGGGGTCATACTGAGGAAAAGTTTGGGAAGCATTGCATTATATCATATGATGGAACCAAAGGCAAAAGTTGGTCCCTAATGGCCTTATAGGGTTAAAACTTTATGGGGTTTATGGCCTAATAGGTTAAAACCAGCACCTTGAATTGAATAATATATAAATACCTTCCTTTCCTTTCCA